GGATTTATTTTCTCCATTTGAAAACATTAGACCTTCTACATTTATTTTGCTTATTGTTAATATTAGTGTTGCTGCTGATGCTTTAAATAAAATGTTTTTTTATTGTCGTAATGTGAAGATTAAATTTAACATGAAAGACTGATAATTTTCAACACTTTTTTTAAGATGACTGAAAGGAGGAAAAACCAAAGTGAAGTATGGACTTACTTCACTCAGTCATTTATTTACTTTATAACAGTAAATAAATATCGGTTCTGCATATCGGTTATCGGGCACATAAACATGCAAATAATTGGTATCGGTATCGGTTTAAAATATCAATATCGGTCGATCACTAATTGTAACAGATTACTGACTAAAATAATTTATTTTAACATTTTAAAATGTAATTTATTCCGGTGATAGCAAAGCTGTATTTTAAGCATCCACATAACATTTCTTATTATTGTCCAAGTTGAAAACAGTTGTGCTGCTTAATATTTTTGTGAATTTTTTCATAATTCTGTGAAAAATAGAAAATTCAAAACAACAGCATTTATTTGAAACATTATAAATGTATTTACTGTCACTTTTGATCCATTTAATGCATCCATGCGGAGTATTATTTTCTTTCAAAAAACTATGAATTTATAAAAAAAAAAACTAAATAAAACATCTTTCTGACCCCAAACGTTGGAATGGAAGTGCAAACATGATTATGAACTTGATTTCATAATTGTTTTTCAAATTAATCAAAAGGTTTCTTAAATAAATGGATAGAACACATTTCAGAATTATAGGATTATAAAGCAAAACTTTGTTTATATATAAGATTGCAGTGTGCATGCATATAAACATTATTATAGCATGTCTTATGTACCTGTGTCCTGCTGAAGAACCCAACACTTGAGTTCTATGACTGAATGTGCAAAGGAGCAACTGTCCTCCCGCTGGCAACCATATCGCACCTCATGGCGGCACACATCAAACTGGCAGAGTGGGTGAAGAGGGCGTACTTTACTGTAGCGTACGTTTGCTGAGCGAACCACGTGCACCAGGCACCTGTCCGGTTAGATAGCATCATAAGACACAAACATATGAAAGGTGATATGATGCAATGGCTGCTTAAGTGCTGCAAAATCATATTAGTGATCCAAGTCTCAATACAGCAAGGGATAAAAAAAAAAAGACTCACTTGTTATCATCAAAGGGATGTCGTGCAGTGAGGTTGGAACACACAGCGAGATTCTCCTTGCTTCGCTTGCTAATGATACGAGGCTTACTGTCAAAACATTCCTACAGGAAGCCAGAGGCCAGAATAACCACTTAAGACAACATATCAAAACAAGAATGTAACATTTCAAGCTGCGAGACTGGCATTAAATCTGAAGGTGCACATTACCTCACAGAGGAACATAAACATGCCCATATGGAGCTGAAGGAGACGGGTGACACTGAGGGCCCGTCGTTCGTTGGTGCCCAGAGGGTCAAACAGAAGCTCACGACTTAGAGCTCCCTTCCTCTCTTGTGTCCAAACATCTATCTCCTCCTGGCAATAGGCAAAAGTGCAGTTTTCACCATACTGGCACTCCTGACGCTCTTGTACCTCTGCAAAGAGAGAGAATGATTAATGAGCTTAATTATTAAATTATATCATTATTACATTATAAATTAAAATTATATTACATACACATATATATAATAATTTTTAAATGGGAAGAAAAAATCCTGACATCTGTTTCCGCATGAGCTGATTCTAGAGGTGTTAAGTAAAGGCACAATATGTAAGATTTTTTTATTAAAATATCCAAAAACCACTAGAACAGTGTTATATATTTTGCTGACTTGTGTACTTCCATTATCCCAAATGTTTCGAAGAATGTTTAACGCCAGAGAAATGACGTCATAACACCTCGATTTCTGGTTTTGTTTTGTAGAAAACATGGAAACACCAAAGGCGCTTTAATATGTTGTGCGTTTTAATAGACCGGTGACGACCACACAGAGTAGCATTATAACAGAACTTTCAAATGTATCTAGTAAGATGAAACAGCGCTGCTTTTTTTCCCCCCCACATACTCACGACCGGAAGGAGCGGAAACGGTCGACTGTGGCATAATAAAATTACATATTGTGCCTTTAAGTATTGAGTAAACAGCGAATGGATTTGATCCACAATTCACAGGTTTTTGATTTGCAAATTTTGATTTTACAAATTCAGAATTATTTTATTTAATCCGATTTAATTAAATTCAATTATAGATTTGATTCTATATTTTTTAATGCATTCATAGGATTATGTAAATGCTTCTCCTAATGTGTCTTAGGTTAAAAAAAAAAAAAGATTATTACACTTTAAAGTAAACATTAAACATGTACATACAGTGCAATGTGCCGATAAAATATTTTAGAGCCAAGCAAACCTAGGAAAGCACTATTTAAATTTTTTTTTTTAAAGATTTTCTTTCCAGGAGTTTTCTGGTTCCAGATAAGACAGTTTTAAAGGGGTCCTATTATGCTCTTTTACAAAGTCTTGATTTTGTTTTGGGGGTGTACTGTAGCTCTCATACTAGGTTGTTCGAAAAACACCTTATTTTTCACATTTTACATTACAACACCTCCCTCCCCAGTCTGGCATGAACGGCTTGAATAGTTCCTGTATCAAATGAAGGCCCGCCTTCTGAAATACGAAATGTGCTGTGATTGGTTAGCTGGGCCAGTGTGTGTTGTGATTGGCAGCACTCGCCGCCGTCGGGAAATGTCATGCCCCTTACCATAGCCGCCTGCAAGCTTCAGTGTAAATATTGCGTCAAAATCAAATCAATTTGAGCGCCATTTAAACCCGGATGATTGTAACCACTCTAAGTTTGTCTGCCTTGGGAAAGCTAGCGTGTCTCCGAACATAGTGATAACACTCGTTGCCTTCTCTAGTGCAGCTCAACCAGGTCTCGTCCCATTCGTCAATATTTGTGATATCACAAATCCCGGAAAATATGCGTTGTAGTTTTTGAAATTATTTCTGTTAAAAAAAATATCTCCTTTTGAAGTGGACTTTGAGCTTTGTAGATCTTTTTATGCTCAAACAGCAACATTATAGACTAACTAAAGTTGAAAAAGTGAAAAAGCATAATAGGACCCCTTTAAAATTTCCTATTATTTTCTAGGTTTTTCCCTATATCCTAAGACCCTTTCATGTCTTCTGCTCCCCCATATAAACAATTATACCAGTAAAACAGAATTTTATCTTATAGAAAACAGAAGTGAAGTTTTTATAATATGAAAGCATTTTATTTTTTAGTAGTAGTGGCCACGCAATGAACTGGCTTTTATCAATGGTTTGTGCACATCTGACTCAAGACCATAGCGCTATTGTCAGAGAGCCGTCATCTGCTCATGTGATAGCATGCCTGAGGAAAGATCAAACAAAGTGCTCAGAAAGCATGTCAATGCTACTGATGGAACAGAAAGGGAGCACAATCCAGTGAAAGGAGATAAGAGTGCGGCACGTGTCTGTGAGGGCGAGCTGTGAGGACGTGAATCACGCCACACATAATTTAATGTTTATATATTTAAAATACTGAATAACACAATGATTCGTAACCAAAACATTTTAAGATAAAAAATAAAAAAAATCATGTTTCAAGATGCATATACATCAGCAGGATTTGTAATCAATGCATCGAGAAAACGAGTGAATCGTTAGATCTAGGGCTGAACGATTTTGGAAAATAATCTAATTGCGATTTTTTTTTACCAATATTGCGATTGCGATTTAATATGCAATTATTTTTTTAAAGCTCTTTATGTTCTGTATTATTCAACAAAGACAAGCTATGAATCATTGTATAGTATGACCAACACAATATTATATAGATTAAACATAAATGTTCTTTTCTGTAGGCCAGGCCTATATGTTACGATGAAATTAGGTGATGCATAAATTGATATGAATGACATTTTTATTTAACAACTACAATCACAGTACATTGACTGATTTGTTGAACTTCCAACCTAATAATTATGTTTAAATAAGCCTGGTGTAAACATTAATATGAAAGTCAGTAACAAATCACACAAACTAAAGTAGATTGCAGAAATATAAAAACAAATCTGTTGCTTTACCACACTACTTCAGGTAATTCAAAGTCACTGTAATAAACATATGTAAACATGTGCACTGCACTTTTTAAACACTGTCTGTTAACTTTAGACCAGTGGTTCTCAAACTTATTTGGTCAAGCCCCCCTTTAAACCTATAAAAAAAAAACTGCCCCCCTTTCCCAAATCCCCATTCCACCTCAGACTACCAAATAATTTCACTAAACATTATGAAAAATCTGTGTTTTTTCATTAAAAAAACCTACAGGGAAAAAAAAACACCTGCATCACTTGAAACATTGAAAAATAGCATAGAGAGAATAACTTATTATTATTATCATTCTCTCTCTGTTATTTATTTATTTTTTGTGGGTTTCATGCTGTCCGCTAAGGCATAGGACACACACAGGCTTTCCTCACCAACGACATTAAACACCGTGTCTACACCGGACGCGAGCGCCAAAATACAGTAGAACCATTATAACCAGTGACGCTGTGTACACTGGATGCGGAGCGACATTAAACTGATGCCTTGTTCTATTTATGACATAACGGTCGCTTTGTCGCGTCCAGTGTAGAGCTGTTGCGGTGTGACACAACTGACATACCTCTTTACTCTCGCGTGTCACGTGACTGAGTGTAATCGCAGCCTCTGCGATTGAAAAATCGCGTTATTTCATATCGCGATATTATCGCAAATGCAATTAATCGTTCAGCCCTAGTTAGATCTCTAGCTGATTCAGAATGATTCCGATGACAAAACCAACTCTAACACTGGCCACTCCCATAATGTACATCCCAACCTGAAACATCTATTCAGTACTTAAAGGCACCATGAACTGCCTTCTTTTTTTATTTTGTACTGTTCTCTGAGGTCCACTTATAATGTTATCAAGATTTTTACATTAAAAAAAAAATCATCAATTTCGAAGTAATAGGCTATTTTTTGTCCCGTTTTGATCCCCTCATTGGAACGCTTCGTTTGAAGAAGGCGTGGCAGATTGTAGACTCGGAAGTAAACACCCACTGCTATGATCGGCTAACAGATTTGCAGTTTTTCATAGATGGATGCTGCTGTGATTTAGGTTAAAAACGCATAAATACTCAGTACATATCAAACTATTTGTAATAACAGACAAAGCTATAGTGATCACGCAATAAAAACAGTTACTCACACTTGTGTGGTGTGACAGTGTCGGATCCAATATATTTGGCACAGCATCGTCTTTTAGTTTCAATCTTTCTGAAAATCCTGCGTCGGATTGTGCCTTGTTTGTAAACGAATCCGCGGTAAAATTAAGTGAGCAAAGGACCAATTCTTACTGACGTGGTCTGTAATTTCATTCAAAATAAAGTTCAAACAATTTTTTTAAGTTATTAAAAATAACCCTTTCCTAATGTTGGGATCAGAAGGAAGGCAAATACAAAGTCTTTTTTCCACAACCTGGCACTGAACAGCATCTTCTTGTCTTCGGAACCATCTTTATCGTTTGATTTCTGCGTAGACATGCGTTTGCCGCTCTCATTATTTACACTACATGTGTGAATCGGTGGGCGGGGTTAAACAGACAGTGATGGCGAGGCAGGCACTGATTTTCCTCTGCGGAGGCGGGGTTTAGCCACACTATTACGTCATAAAGTGGCAAATTCCACAACCTGTCGTTTTGGCAGATTGGCTTCAATATAAGCTGTTTTTAGACTAACAAGAAAGTTTTGAGTTCTGAAACTTACAGGATATTTTTAAATAGTACAATGACCTCTTATGTGTGAAAGATCAAGGGAATTTTGATTTCTCAATTCATGACCCCTTTAATTTCCACAATTCTTCAATAAACACTGAGCCATACCTTTGCAAAGAACAAACGCCCCAAGAAAGTTATTACGAGCAGGACGGGGTCGCACCCTCTTCCAGGTGGGGTCATCTGAGGATTTGAGGCGGCAGAGCAGCACATCTCTCTTACAGCGATGCGCGGCATCAGGTTGATAATGGTAGTCCATGACCCGTTGCCCTAATTTTGAAAAGATTCACTTTTTTTCAAACAGGTACAACAGGTTTAGGAATAGTTCTGATATGCATCTCATTTTTTCATATCACACAGTTAAGAGGTACAGTACCTATGCGACTGTAGCAAGCATTACAGGCCTGTCTGAACTCATGTGTGGCAGCCAGAGGGTTTCGTGACAGCAGAGAAAGGTTGGTAACAACTGGTCCATTCTGTTGGAAGCAAGAACAATTCTCTGACTAAGTGATAGCACACCATTTTTACAAACATTTTAAGTTATATAAAAAGAAAGATTGAGTAAGACTATGAGCTAAAACTGAGCAGTTTACAAGTACAGATCAGTTAAAACTCACTGCATTGGTGGGATTATGATTCCGCAAACTGGGGATGAAACTGTGAGAGATTCGTCCACCTAATATTTATAAAGAAAGGAAAATGCATGGGATAAAAATGCTTGAGTTATCAATATTAAGTTATTGTCATGTCAAGACATTTTATGAATTATTTAAATACAAGTATGAAGTCAGTAAGGTTTTATTAATGTTTTTCAAAGCAGTCTCATGTTCACCAAAGCAGCATTTATTTGATCAAAATACAGTAAAGCAGTAATATTGTAAAATATTATTACAATGTAAAAATTTTCTAGATGAATATATTTTAAAATGAAACGTCTTCCAATAATAGCAACGGAGAATTTTTTTCGTGGATTTTACTCCATTCCTCAGTGCCACATGATCCTTCAGAAGTCATTCTAATGTTGATTTGGTGCTATAGAAACATTTCTAATTTTTATCAATGTTTAATACAGTTGTGGTGCTTAATATTTTTGTAGAAACTGTGAAACATTTATTTTCTTCAGGATTCTTTGATGAATAGAAAGCATATTTTCAAAATGGAAATCTTCTGTAGCATTTTAAATGTCTTTACTGTCACTTTTAATCAGTTTAATGCATCCTTGCTAAATAAGTCTTAAAGGGGTGGTTCACTGTTTTTTTTCTAGGCTTGATTGTGTTTATGGGGTGCAGTCTAACATGTGTTAATGCTTCGTTTTTAAAAAAACGCATTATTTTTCACATAATTTACCTTTATTCCACACCACTCTGTCCCTTCTCTGAGAAATGCACTGATCATTTCCTGCTTTTATGAAGCCCCGCCCTCAGAAATAGAAACAGTTTTTGATTGAAAACAATCAAAATGTGTTGTGATTGGCTAAACCGCCTCTAGTGCGCGTCTAAACGTCCCGCCCCTCACTTCAGCGGCATGTGCTCCGGTTGTATTGTAAACAACGGCGTCGTTAATATCGCTTATCAGTTTGAGCCCGCTTGAGAAGCATAGGATATCATTGAAGAGGATCGTGCAGAACCTGTGCAAGCACGGCTTTTAATGGGAGGCCTATGTTTTTTGTTTGTTGTTGTCTCATACGTTTAGATACGCTGTTATTTGTAAATGCTACTGCTTATGTTAGATTTTAATATACGGTTTTATCCTGATTAAAGCTTTAATACAGTACGGCAACTGCAC